GAGGCTGCGTAATTGACAGAAGCAGATGGCTGGGGAGGGGTGAGGTTGGGGGGGGGAGCGAAGAAAGAAGGGAAGAAAGGGGAGTAGACTGGGAAGAAATCCCAGCTTTGTGGGATCCTGTAGGTTAAAAGTTGACCCGGGGGGGGGGACAATGCTGAACGAGCGAGAGCCGTTTATGATATCAAGCTCCTGGAGACGGCAGAAGGATCTGGGTAAATTATTTTTCAGAGAGGGAGGGGAAAGCCGGGTCTACTTGCTAGAAATGGCAAATCCACTTTTTAAAACAGGTGCTGTCCCCCAGAGGCTCTTGAACCACCTCTTAATGCTGGTACGAAGGCATTATTATTTTATTTTTTTCGATTTATATTTCCATCTTTCCTCCAGTGAGCTCAGAGGGCAGGCTGGCTCCTCTCTCCCCTCCCTTCGTACACCCATCAACCCTCCGAGGTAGGTCAGCCTGAATGAGAGACGCCGATGGGGGGGGGGGCGCAAGGCCAGCTGGTGAGTTTCATGGACCGGAGAAGACCTGGATCGCAACCTCTCAATTCCAGCCCAGCGTGCTAACCACTGTACGTACTACGGGTTGTTCAGGTTTCTCGACCGTATCCTGTAGTGCAGGTGTGGAAAAACCTTTGGTGCTCCAGATAGTTTGAGACTCCAAACCCCATGATTTCTACCCAGTATGGCCAGTGGTGAGGGGTTTATTCTTTTCGTGGTAGACTGCCTCTGTATGAAGAAGCTCAACTTATCTATTACAGCTAATCCCTAAGGATGGAATTTTTGGATTTTTTTTTTGGACTACAGTTCCTATAATCCTCTATTTTGGGAGCTCCACCAGACAGACACCTAAATGTGACATTCCTGGCAGAAAAACCTGACCCAGTGTCCTTTTTTCCTCAGTTGAACATGAATGCCATGGCATAAATTTAATTTCTACTATAAAACATACATGTTAGGGATGGGGGAATGGGGTTAGCCAAAATGCTGAGCATCCCAAGTGGCTACTAGCTGTTGCCAAAGAGGTACCGATGAAAAACCTGTGACAGGTACAGGTGGTAGGAGGTGACACCTGAGAAGGATGTGATGGAACAGAAACCAACAGTTAAGAACCATGGCTCTTGAGGAAATGGAATCTGGACACCTCAATTAATAGCTCTAAGTATTGCATCAGATCCTCATTAAATCAGGCTGATGTAAACTACCATCCTTCCAGACCCTTTTGGCTGGCAACTCCGATTTCAGGGGTGCTGGGAATCCATTCCACATTTTACTCTGCCTTTTAACAGAATGTCTAAAGTACCTTCAGCACCTTGGACAGCTCTTTCAAAACAAACAGTAAAACCTGGAGTGGATTTGCTGTACCCCTGAAATAGGAGTCCTCAGCTGCTAATGGCTCCAGGTATGACCCTGTTCCAATACCTATGGGACCGGATTGGCATAGTTAGAGAGGATGGGAACTTTACATCCTAAAGTAACGTTTCCAAGTTCCGGTTGTAATACTTCACTGTGGGCCTTCCCTATAAGTTAGAGGCAGGGGGACATATGGCTCTTTACCTTCTGTTGGATTCCATTTTCTATCACCTCCAAGACCAATAGCTACACTGGCTGGGGCCAATGGGAGTTGTAGTTGAAACTATCCAGAGGGCAGTAGCTTGTAGGAGGAAGCTTTGATCCAGCATCACTGGGGGTAGGGAAGGGGGAGAGGCCACATGGAAGATGAGAGGATGGGTGCCCTTCGGTTGCGGCTGGATTACAACTCCCATCAGTCCCAGTCGCAGATGGTCAGGGATGATGGGAGTTGGAGTCCAGCGACATCCAAGGTACTAAATAGGCCAGCGCACGAATCCCGTCTCCGACCACGTCGGCTTGCAGGCGCAGGCGTGAGAGCGCAAGCAAAAAAAAGGGAGAAAACCCCTGCATGCGCTCGTTTTCTTGACACGGACGGTCTCTGTCTCATTTCTCCTGCTTTTGTCCAAGTGTCTGCGGGTATAATAANGAAGGGGGGGGTGTTCAGAGAAGCAAAGAATTAGGAGGGGAAGAAAAAAAGATCAGATGCAAATCACTGGGTGGAAGGAAAATTATGTGCAATTACCCAAGAAAACTGGGCAGCTCTGCCCACCCCAGCCAACAAGATCTCATTAATAAGCAGAAAATAAGATTGAAATGGTGTGTAAAAGAGCTGGAAAAATGAATTTGAATGCCACATTTGTCCACAATAGCAAAGAATTAGGAGGGGAAGAAAAAAAGATCAGATGCAAATCACTGGGTGGAAGGAAAATTATGTGCAATTACCCAAGAAAACTGGGCAGCTCTGCCCACCCCAGCCAACAAGATCTCATTAATAAGCAGAAAATAAGATTGAAATGGTGTGTAAAAGAGCTGGAAAAATGAATTTGAATGCCACATTTGTCCACAATTACCCCCGCGTTCACACATATTTTATTGCAATTTTTTTTATTATTCTTAATCTTTCCATCCCTCAAAGCAGATTGGGAACATCCCGGCATTACGGTTGCAGAGGGAGAAGCATTACGGATTTCCCTTCTCTCCCGTGAAAGGGAAGCGCCCCGGCCCGCTCGTCAAATTTGCAAAGGGCCGGCCAGGCGAGGATCAGGATTCATCGCCGTGGCTTAGCGCCATGTAGGAACAAGGTCTTTTCAAAAATATTCCCGACCTTCTGACGCGTTGCGGGGCCGGTCGATGCACTACGCCGGGGTTTACAATCCCCACCTCCTCACCCCATAGGAAAGAACACAGAAAATGATCATACGGAGTCACTCCGAGATCTGTTTTCTCAGTATCACCTACGCAAGCGGGTGGAGATTCAGGAAGGATTGCACGTGGGGCTCTGGCCTCTCGGGCAGGGTGTCTGGGGTGGAGCTATAAGCCCATCACAGCCGTTGTCTATCTGACCCAGAATAGCCTTTTCTGATGGGCAGAAAAACTTTCCGTCGAGCCAGGAGCGCTCCTGAACCCTCCATGGAGGTCAGGCGCAGAATTTTCTCCCTAAACTATGATTGCCAGCTTAAAAAATAAAAAATAAATATGAATTGAAACTAACTAACTAAATAAATAAAGGTTCATTTAGTAATGTGTAATTTGACCCCCAACGCACACCATCTAGTTTGACCCTAACTTCTAACGTTTCATTTGCCCTACAGGGATCCCCAAGGGCTTTCATGGGTGTCAAGAGGAACAGCGAGAAGGCAGGACCTTTTCTGTGACAAAATAAGCTAGTGCCCTTCAACCCTCTTGTGAGAAAGCCGCATCGTTTGCATTATTTACTTAAGAATCACTTCCTTCCTGGCTCCATGGACCTCCCTTCTTATTAGTATTTCCAAGATACACGTGGGTTTAAGTCCTTTTAAATAATATGTCACATTTGTTTCGAAAAAACCATTTGCAAAAGATTTCTTGCAATTACTGCTTTTACTAATACTAATACTAATACTAATACTAATACTAATAGTTTGCAAAAGAAGCATACTCATGCGCAAAGAACATGAACAATGACACCTCCATAAAAACAAGAACAAGTTTGAAATTTAATGGACAAAAAAATGCAACAGCGTAAAGGCAAGGAACAAGCCTTCCTGTCGAAATTAAGAGTAAGAAACCACAGCGAGACCACCTGATACACCCAGGGTCCTCATGTCTACAGTCAAACTCTGTCCAAGAAAATTAAAGAAATAAATAAAAGCAGCCTCCAAATACACCTTTCAAGATATTCCAATCTCACAGAAAGTTATGTGAAATTATGGAGAATTTCCGCATGAGACGAAACACAAATTTTATTCCCTGGGTACAAAATATGTTTCTTCCCCAAACAGAGAGGGTCGTAAATATTGATGGAATAGCATTTAGTGACAGACAGTGAAAGAAAGGTGAGCAGGCAAAATATATTAATGCTCGTGGCCAGCACAGGGCACGGACTCCCTGTGGGCATTATGATGACATCGGAGCTACGGGATTTCGTTCTTTCTTTATTTTAAAGATTTCACACTTAGTGACCTCAAAGCAAAAACCTGGCAGCTGATCACAAGAAAACTCCCTCACTTTTCAGGCCAGAGATTGGCGGAAAATTTGCACACGCAATGGCTCTCCCACCCTGAAGAACCACCAATCAGAGTGGATGCAAAATTAGAGCACATCGGAGGGTTCTCACCGAACGCCTGCGTGGCTTCTGAGCTACTAGGAAGGGTGTTACACAAACATGGTGCCACCATAGAAAAAGCCCTCACTCTCCTCACCTTAGAAGGTGATTTGCTGAGTCTTACAATGAAAGGATCGCTCTTAAAAACCCTCAATGGCTCTGGAAAAGCTCCTGTCCCTCTCATCCTGCTGCACAGAAATTCAACTGATCCGAACCCGAAAATTTACCGTCTTGGCCTGCCTTATTCTTGTGGGCACCCATGAGAACGAACCATCAGTGTTTTTCTCCTCCATGGTGAGAAAGATCTTACGTTTTCCATCTGTCTCAGGCAGGATGGGTTTTTGCGCAAATAAACCAAATGGCACAAAAACATGACAGACTGGGTTTTCGGAGAATTGGAAGCATGGAATGGGTTGTTTGTTTCCTTTTCGAAGTAGCTCCCTGTTGTCCCCCCCCTCTCTCTCTCTGCACTTTGCTTCTCAGAGGAAAAGCACACTAGTTTTGCCCAGACAGATTCTGCACAAATTGTAGAGAGACGGGTGGGTGGAAAGACATCCTTGTCTCCCTCTCATGCTGCAGGTGAAGGATTTCATGAGGTTTGAAAATTCACCCACAGGGTATCTCATATGTAGACAGCTTGAACTGATAGCTAAGAGAAATCTAATTGCCATTCTTCACCCCTCTAATCAGAAGTGGACTTAACTTTAACCCTGTTACATTTCCAGTGGCATGGCCCTAGGAACTGTCCAAAGGGATCAGAGAAATCTCTGGTTCCCAAGGGGGGGTGAGTTCCCCTATAGTTTCCTAGGCTAGAGGTGATGATGGATCAGGCAGGAAGACTCCTTACCTGTGGAGAGAGGCCGTTGCTGACTGGATTCATGTGATTCGCTGGAGCTGTGGGGTTCATGAAGCTGTCAGAGTAACTGGAGAAGCTGTGTCGGGCCCCATAGGTAGAGCTGGAGTCCACCGCGGCAGCGGCCAACCCCCCCTGGTGCATGGTGGATGGCGGGAGAGGTTGGGGTCTGTGGACGGTGCTGCCCCCATCTGGAGGGAAAAAAAAGCAGTCGGAAGCGTTTGTCAAAATCCTCCTGTGCTGGGCTGTTCCACAGGGCAACGCTAACGGGGAGCGAAGTCAGGAAGTTGACATCTCCTGTGTCCCAAGATTCCACCCTTGGTCATGCTGATGGGGGACGATGGTTTCTACAAGTTTCAGTGGCTGGGGGATTCTGGGCTTTGTAGTCCAAACAGGCCAAGCCCTCCCTCCAGGTTGTCAGTGAAACCCTCAGCAGTTACCTTGGGAAAGAGTGGTCGTTGGGTAGGTTGAATCTGGCAGCTGGTAAGGGGGCAAAGTCGGCATCCCGGTGGGTGGAAAGCCCCCTGGCAAGAGGTGGTTGAAGGCGGCCAGCTGGTTGGCACCAGCCTGTTTGCGCCATCGGGCTCGCCGGTTGCTGAACCAGACCTGCGGTGGGGAAGAGAGGAAGGAAGGTGTGCATTGGCTCACAACAAAAAAATCACAAACAGCAAGGACATCTCTGTGTCCAATAGTCTTGTTTAAACTACAGCTCCCAACATCCCCACCATTAGCCAGGCTGGCTGGTGCTGATGATGGGAGCCCCAGTCCCTCAGAAACATCTGGAGGCCAGGCTGTGAGAAACCAAAGTGGCCACTAGAGGGCAGTGAAGAGAAGTGGGCCCTTTTCCCCAAAACTGTTATTGTGGGTCCTATTTGGCCCACTGACTGCCCGTTGCTGACTAGGCTAGCGTTCTAACCTTGTGTCCTGGCCATCCCCTTGGAGGGCGGATGCCGCCCAATCAGAACCGTCTCTTCTGCCTCTCTATCACCTTAAAAGCCAGCCCACGATGCAAGTCAGTTTCTCTGCTCCAGAACCCCCCATAAACTTTGACACAACCTTGCTTGACTCAACCACGACTTGGGGCTGAGTTCCTTCTCTTTGAACGACAGCTTCCAGAATCCTCCAATCCAGCACGGGAAATGGATTCTGGGTGCCGTAGTCCCCCACCAGAGAAACTTTTCTGAACCTGGACAAGCCCTGTCCAATCGTCCCGTGCCAATCTAAGTCCTGCTTTTGTGGTTTGTAACTCCCTGTGGTGGCTTTTGATCCAAAACATTTGTGCGCAACACGGAGAAACCCTCTCAACGCCACCAACCTGGCTCGGGAAGGGATGGGGCAGACACTGGCCGTGGAGCGCCGGCTGAGAAATATGTGGCTAAGCTTTCGAGGGAGTTGAGAAAGCAGCTGCCTCAGCCCTCCAGGGTCTGAAAGGACTAAGAGATGTGATTGAATTTCACAGCAATGGGTGTGTGAGTGGAGGGGGGGCGGGAAATTGAACAAAAATCAAGAGTTGGAAAGACAGAAAAGGAGTCTGCTCCGCGGAGTCCGTTTCTGGATGAATTGCATCAAAATTGTGATCAGCATCAAACGAAAAGGTAGCAACTCGTCTCTGAGGGTTTACTTGGTAAATTATTTCTTAGGAGTTCTACGTCAGGGGAGCCCCTTTCTGGAGTTGGCTGAGGGCAGGCAAAAAGAGGGTCCCCACAAAACTATGCTTTATTAGCTTATGGACCTCGCCATCACAAAAAAGGGCTTTAAACCCCCATTTTTTGGCTTGCCAAGTGAGAAGAGGCTCACTAAAAGCCCCAAGAGCCAAGCCGAGCCTCCACATTTAAGAGCACTCTATCTCTGGACAGTAGCTGCCAGGAAACAACCAACCAGGGGAACTTTTGCCCTCCTGACTTACTTGTGAACCTTCCCAAATGGATTCCCCCCCCTTCCTGGGCCCAATTCAGTGACCTGGAATTATTTTAATTTTAGATGGTACCTCTTTTTAAAGTCACTGTATCTTGGGGTGAGTCAACAGGATCTGGAAGCCCTTTGCTCTTCTCAGATCAAAAGAGGAAAAAATACAAACCAACCCAGAGCGCAGCACCTCCTCTTGGTATGCCATTTGGAACGAAATCTCTGTGTGTGCTTATGATTTATTGGTACTCATACAAGGCAACGTTGATTGAACTGGTTGTTGTGGGTTTTTCGGGCTCTTTGGCCGTGTTCTGAAGGTTGTTCTTCCTAACATTTCGCCAGTCCCTGTGGCCGGCATCTTCAGAGGACAGCACTCTGTGCTCTGGTGTCGTTTGTTTGGGAGTGGAGTATTTATGGCTGTGAGATAGGCTTTTGTCCTTTTCTGGAGATGGGTGATTAGTGTGTCTTGTCGTGGGTGTATCAATCACAGTGACAGATAATCTCTGCTCCTTATCAGAACAATACATCCACAACAAGACACACTAATCACCCATCTCCAGAAAAGGACAAAATACTCCACTCCCAAACAAACGACACCAGAACACAGAGTGCTGTCCTCTGAAGATGCCGGCCATAGGGACTGGCGAAATGTTAGGAAGAACAACCTTCAGAACACGGCCAAAGAGCCTGAAAATCCCACAACAACCATTAGATCCCGGCCGTGAAAGCCTTCGCGAATACGTTGATTGAACTATTTCTACCTTGATATTTTAGGAGTGAATGATTGTTGGCTCTTTCCTCCTTCTCATAGACAACCACAGTGATCAACCAGCCCAAAGCATGTTGGGCTATTCGAAGGACTGGAACCCTAATCTCCATACATCTTTGTGGCCCTTACATCCACCGGAGAGAAGCACCATCTATGAATGAATCATCTCCTTTTAAAAACCCTTCTCTCCAAATCTTTCTGTGTTACACACATATTTCAGTACCCCTGTGGATGGAGATCTCAAAGAAAATTCAAAATACTTCCCAGTAAAAATTCACGCCCGCCACATTTTCCTCTCGCCTCTTCTTTGAAAGGCTGCTAAGGACTCCCTCCCCCCCGCCACTCTTTTTATGCTTATAAATCATTTTATTGGCTGGTTAAAATATATAGGATTGGCCCTCGAGAAGGTAATGTAAGACCCACTTCAAAGGGAACTGTAGGTTTTATCAGCCTCTAAAAGATTCTCCTGCCGGAGGAATCCAGTTACAAATAAAATAACATAAAAAGTTAATCCCACACAGTGACAGGAGGCCAACGGCTTCAGACACCAAACCCATAGCACAGAGGTGTGGGGTTAGAGGGGCAAGGGGTTGCTTATCTCTCCCCCACCAAGTCGGACAACCGAGTCCCTTCCTGGAGTAGCATCAAGGGTCTCTGTCCGTCTCGGATGGAAACAACGGCCCAAACACACTGATCTTCAGCTGGCCGTTCCCTCCGCACAACCCCTTGGCCAGGTAGGGTTAGGGTGAGAGACAACTGGCTACACAAAGGCCACACCCTGTATTTTCATAGGGGATGAAAAACAGGTTTCCCAAGTCCCAACCCAGCCCACGAGGACTCTTCAAACTGGCATCTTCTGGGGCTAGAAGATCAGGAGATGGTTGTGTTGCGGTTTGTAAGGTGGAGAAGATCGTATCAGGCACTGTGACCGGCTACGGTTCAGCCATAATTGAGCCCCAGATTTCCCCTTAAGCTTCCTCTTCAAATCTTTTGCACATCCAAAGGCACTTTCGGTGGGATGTGAGCCATGCCTTCTCGATCCCTTTCGCCTCGTCTACTCTCCAGCCTACACCTGTTCCGGTCTTCCTCCTTTCTCCCTCCCTCCCTCCCTCCCTCCCACTTCCTTCTGCCTTCTGCTGGTGCCCCATGGCAGAGAGTGGCCTCCTTGCTCTTTCAACATGGCCACGGAGCAGATGCTTCCTTGCCGGGAGGAGCCTGGAGTAAATTAGGGAAGCCCTGGGTCATTGCCCACAATTTGTCTGACAAGGAGAAAGCGGGAGGTCAGGTGAGGACGGGCCACCCGTCTGGGCTTAAGAAGATGGATGGTTAGGGAAGCTAAGCAGTTAAGTGGGAACAGAGCCAGGAGACTCATTTCCTACAGGTGATGAGTTATTTTGGCATTCACGCTGGCCTCTCCCAATTCTCCCGCACTTCAGATGGCACAGGCCCCTCATCTTAGCTCCCATCACTACACCAGCTGGGAAACTGATGGGAGATGTCATTCAAGCCCTCTCTGGAGGGTCAGGCTGGGTTTTGAAAGGCTGATTCTTCTTCTTCTTCTTCTTCTTCTTGGCCTCCATAGTAGATTCACAAACTGTCCGACAGCTTTCAGTTCTGTTGCACCCAAAGAAGAGTACTGGGACTACAACTTCCATAATCCCCAGGCACTGGTGACAGCTAAGGAGACATCTGTAGGTGGGCAAACACTTGGAAGACCATGGCTGGCTCAACCTCGGTGTAGCCTCTCTTAGCGGTCGATGCCTCGCTTTTAGAGACATCAAGAGTCAACGCCGCAGGCTCTCAAACTCAGGTTTAAATTAGAGCAGAGCCATGCCATCAACGGAAAGTACATAAATGTTCATTTAAAAGTTCCTCTTGACCAACAACTGGATTGAAATCCTGCCTCTGCAGAGGCTGTTGGACTTTTGAAAGGATGACAGCAATTGTGGGTAAAAACAGGGGGTTCCCAACCGTGGGTCACCCAGGTGTTCTTGGACTACCGCTCCCAGAAATCCTGGCCAGCAAAGCTAGAGGTGAAGGCTTCTGGGAGTCCCAGTCCAAGAACCTCTGGGGGAATCCAAGGCTGGGAACCATGGTTGAAACCATCTGGAGGCCCATGGCCACCCAACTTGACTTTATCCCTGAAGGACCCAAAGTCTTCCAAAGCAAAGAATGTGCTTTGCTTTAAGAAAGACCGAGGTCTGGGTCAAAATAAGGAGCTCCAAGCGACGCCCACAGACCAGGAGGCTTTGAAATGGGTGCTCGTTCACCCTTCTGATGAAGAAACAGGCATTTGATGGGAGCCGCTCCCCATGACAAATGAACAAAGGAGGGAACGAATGTTTTGCTGGACGCAACTGGCCGAGAGGGTCCTAACACCCAACAAAGGCTCACGACGGGCAGGACGGTGCCTTCGCGCCCACGTCCCTGCCCATTGGACCTCCTTGGTGGGCTTAGATGCTTTCATGGCACGGTATGGAACAGCAGCTGGCCTTGAGCCGTCCCCAGCCAGATCGAATCGCATTCGCTCTGGACACATTTTTCTTTGGGTCCAGCGTCATTGTAGGGTTGCCCAGTTTCCAGCCTGTCTCCGGCTCCTTCCTTTCCTCAGAAACAACCCAGAAGAGCAAGCCCCCAACCGGCCTTCTAGCGCATGAGAACCTCATCTGCTCATTTGCTTCATGAGGGAGGGGCACAACCCTGGAGTCCCCAGAGGTTCTTGGACTACAACTCCCAGAAGCCTTCACCACGAGCTGTGCTGGCTGAGATTTCTGGGCTGTTGCTGGACTGTGATTCCCATCATCCTTCACTGTCCAAAATGCTGGCTTATGAGGAAAAGCTATTCCACCAAAAAAAAATTCATCCCAAAATCATTAGAACTTGATCTAAAAGCTTCCTCTTCCACTGATATTTTTTTGGGGGAGGGGGGATGTCTAAAACCAGCTGTCCTGAACCCAGGACCTGCTTGATAGGGTGGACTACTTTCCCCATCAACTACACCTAGCACAGTGAACAATGGGTGTTGTAGTCCAGCACTCATGGACATTCTCTTTATTTAACCCACTTTGGGTACAAAACACCCTTCCTACTGTGTTATTATTCATGTCACCAGTATCTCAACTCTTAATAAATTAACGTTTGGAGGACGAGTTTGGGGAGATTGATTCAAGAGGGCATTGGTGTTTTTTTTAAATAGGATGCCAAAGGCATTTGTGGCATGGATGACATAAACATGACATAAAACAAGGACCAAGTCACGACCCACCCACCCCTCCACTCCTTCCTTATTGACCCAACTCAGAGAATCCAACAATCCGGTCCTGACTCTTGCGGCAGGTTCTGGACCGACGGGTGTGTGTCGGTTTGGTGAGGGGATGGATTCGCTTTGATATCCAGGACATTTTACAAGGCGGGGAGGGGGGTAGGCTTAAAAGCGGTGGGAAGAACCCAACTGTGCCAGGATGAGAAACCCACCAGGAATGTGAGTCCAAGAACAGGTGGCGCTCAAAAGGGAAGGACTCTCGGACCACAGAAGGAGCCTGCAAATTACAGCTTCAAATAAATGGGGGGTGGGCAGGCAAGGTTCCTCCCCCCCCTTCCTCCAGTTTCATTGCTTTGAAAACTGAAATCTTCAGACGGAAAGATGCGGCTGCCACCGAAACGCTCCGTTCCCCTGCTTGATGGGTGGCTGTGAATTTCCACCCCTGGCAAGGCGGATGCTGGCAAAGGCCAACCCACGCACGGTGGCAAAGCCAACCCACCCACTGAAGAAAGAGATCAAAGTGCCTAAACGTGAATGAGCTTCCCTGTTGCTGCTCTGGGTGAGTCCCCGGTCAGGCCTTTGTCTAATCCGCTGCCCCAGGGGTGGGAAATCTAGTTAGCTCCCTTCTGTCGGTGTGGCTGGAGGGGCACAAGCACGAGAAAGAGGAGGTTGCCTGTTGTGTCTCTGCACAAACCCTGCAATCTGCCCTTCTTCCAATCCGTTGCAGGGTGTCTCTGCACAGTATCACCCATTTCTTTCCACGAGATCCAGCAAAAAAGCACTGCTCTCACTGACACAGCCTTCAGCGTGAGCACAAGACTAAGGTTTTTTAAAAAATTGCATTTCCTGCATTTAGTGCAAAATGAGGCACACCAAATGGGTATCCTCCCCCTCTAAACACAGAGGAACACACACAGAGCAAGCGCTGAGGGACAGGCTGATGGGTCGCAAAGACTCAAGCAACCAATCCACTGCTTTTGTTGGCTACCTTCTGCCACGCCTGTCGTGTTTTCCCTCCATGGGCGTCCTTTAAGGAATGTGCAAAAATCTGTTTCAAAAAGGGGCAAAATCTCTCCAGAAGCCATCAAAAGAAAGATGGGGGGGGGGAAGATACCTTCCTGTCACGTGACTACATTTTGGTGCACCTTTTTTGCCATTCAAGGCACAGACAATGAAAGGAGCCGAGCTCAGCATCCCTGTGTATGCCACATGGCGCTTCCTAGATGAGGAACCACCCCCGTCTTCTCCGAAACAAAGCTGGTTTCATACCTGGACTCTCGCCTCGGTGAGCTTGGTCCTCTGAGCTAGCTCTTCTCGTGTGTAGATGTCAGGGTAATGGGTCCTCTCGAAGGCTTTCTCTAGTTCTTCCAGCTGTTCCGCGGTGAAGGTGGTCCGGCTGCGGCGCTGCTTCCGCTTGAGGGGCAGATCAGGTTCGGACTCAACATCGGAGCCTTCATCCAGCCTGTTGCCTGGAGATCAGAGAAGAAATAGTCATCAATATCATGAAAGAGAGATCAAAATGCTGCCTGACATCTCTTTCCTCTCTCTCCCTCTAAGCAAAATGACTTCTTGATTCACACGGTGCCCTGAAACGCAGGACCCTTTTTGCTGATTTACACTTGTGTAAGACTCAGACATGACTTAACGACTAAACAACAACAACAACAAAGGAAATCTCAACCCCTCTTGGCTGCAAACCACAAGTTTCAGCTAAAATGTTGAAGGGTATACAACTGGATGCTGGTTCCAACTGGAATTTTGAGTAGAGTAGACCCGTTGAATGCACAACGTTTCTTAACTCAGCCCTTACATGCCATACCATCAGTTCTGATGTCTCCTCCACTAGGGTGGCCAACACTTGCATGAACTCGGATTTTCACTGCTCGTATTGATTCAAAAGTGCAATGTTTGTTCAGTTCGCCTTAATGTGCAAGCTGAACGAATTTCTGCCCCCCCTGTAAATGATCTGGACCCTACACACCAGAAATTGTTTCTTCTCATCCCACACAGATATGGATGTTCTCAACTTCTCCGTTTCAGCGATTCTCCATTTGGGTGCGGAATTGATCCTTCCTGGTTGATAAGGGGCCTATTTTACATCTCTGATACACGTAAATATAAACATAGACTTTTATCTGCGCCTCTGGTTTCATCTTTGTTGATTTCAACATCGCCTTCCTTTCCAAGGAGTGTTGCCTATCCATTCTCCTGTCCTCTCTCTCTTTCTCTCTCTCTCTCTCTCTTCCCCCCCTCCCACCATACGATTGCTCAAGAGAGGCTCTTTAGGGCCTTAAAGTTAAATTAATCAAAAGGATTAGGCAGGAGCCGGGCATGACCAGCGGCGCCAGGCTCTGCCCGAACCCTCGAGGCACAAAGAAGGACCTCCGGTCTTTCTCTCAAGCACCTTCGCTCGGTCTGGGAAGATCCGGCATCCGAGGTGGACATGCGGGCGCATTCATTAAACCAAAGATCGGATCGCCCATGCATTTCGGGTGGGTAGGGGGGGAGAGAGAGAGAGAGAGAAAGGAGGGCCAGGCTTGTTTCCCCGATCTGCTCCTCTTCCTTTTCCCCTCACTTGCTCCTTTCCTGCTGGCTCTGAGAGCCCCATCTGGACCATCTTCACTTCCACAGCCACCCTCCCCAAGGATTCCGGTTGACACACCACCGCCGCCATGGTGACCCTCCTCCCCATCATCCCCAGGAAGCAGCTGGACGGAGGGGAGACACAGCCAGGCGGAAATCTTTGCCAACTTGGAGAAGGTAAAAACCTGGATGCGCCTCGACCTGGCTGCCTCTTTTATCCCAGGGAAACAAAAGAGGGGCCTCATCCGCACACCGAGGAGCTGCTACAGTAGAAGAGGTTGCAGCCGCTGCCGCCGCCACCTGAGGACAGATTCAGCCAGAGAAAAGCAACCCAGCACCTCCTCCGGACCAGGCGGATCAAGTTCCCCATCATCCTCGGCTAGTAGGGCAGAGGACACAGGGGTGCTAAAAAAGTTAGAGGGAATTTTTCCCCTCTCCCTGCACTCAAGCAACCAAGTCTTATTGTCTTGATAGTGGAGAGGGTGGGCTTCTGCCCTTTTCGCACCCCTAAAACACACCACCCGCCATGTCACAGCAGCATGGGCTTTGGAGTCAAAAGGCCTTTCGCTCTGTGGACAGTCCCAAAAAGACCAAAATGCCACTTTGTTCTTTGGAAGGGTGAAGGTAGAGGAGGGTTGATTGACTCCCCACGATCATCACCTGTTGCACGGTGTTTTTTTTTAAAAAGACATTAAAAAAATCTGTGATGTGATGGATTCTAGAGTGTGCAGAATGTCTTCCACCACGCGTGAACATGCATGTACATTGGGGGGGGCAGGGGACGGATTTATACCAAAGTAGACTACTTGGTTTCAATACAATCTCAGGAGCAGGTGGTGCCTTTAATCAACCATTAAAGGTATTAACAAGGTATCACCTACTCCCGCAGTTGTATTTTTTCCACGACTATGCGGCCTTATCCTGATTTTTCCTGCTTGGTTTCAGATCTCTAACATGGCTTTTTGTTACTTTGAAATCTTGCTCCCTATGCACCAGATGAATGCCCTCTAAACCTTTTCCTCCAAAGGGTAAACAACCGAGCCGGGCGTTTGGTGATCAACAATATATTTTGACCCTTCCTCACCTCCCCCAACCTTCTCCTCCCTTCTTCTGGATTCAGTGCCCCACTGTCGGGGGGGGGGGACAACAAAACCCACATACTTTGCCTAGGGTTCGGTTTGGAAAAGAGACCAGGGATGGCGGCTAAACCCATCAAAATGCAAACAAGACCTTGGGGAGAAAGACAGCCACAGGACCGCCAAAGGTACCGTCTTTTTTGCACCATAAGACGCACTTTTTCCCCACAAAACAGAGGGGTGGAAAGTCTGTGCGTCTTATGGAGCGAAGAAAACAGATTATATTTTCCTGTTTTCTTCTCCTAAAAAATTGGTGCGTCTTATGGAAAGGTGCATCTTATAGAGCGAAAAATATGGTATTTCTTTCCTTGCAATTTATTTGTCAAATGTGAAGCCAAATCTGATCTTGGCCCGCACTCCTCCTGCTGTACTGTTTTCGACCAGGTCTCTGATTGATGGCGGACACCCACCCGCCCCGATGACAAAAAGGAGATGCTGTGACAGGGGCTAAATACTGTTTCTGAACCATCAAAGGGACTCCTCTAAAAGCATGTTTCACTGTTAAGAATTGGGAATGAATAATACCGCAGTGTGTGTGTGTGTGTGTGTCGGGGGAGCGAGATTGTGTTTTCCCACCACTTCTGCAAATCCAGTCAACAACAAGGTAAAAAAAAAACAGTTGCCGATATGGGTGATTTATTTCAGTGGCTCCTTTTTACACACACAGACGCACACACACGCCGTTTGCCAGCCCAACCCAGGTCTCGTCCATTTTTGATTACAGTTAAAGATAGTTTGCCGGCGCAAAGCAATAAGCAGAAAAAAAAACACCAACCCAAAATAAATACAAACAAAAACTCCCACCGCAGAATGCTTGATATTCGTTTTAATCTAATCATTCAGGGGCCCAATGGAATGGGAGAGGTTGGCAGGGGTGGTCTGAGAATACCAAACAGACCGGGCAGGCTGGCGCAGAAAAATGGGGAAGAAGAAGAAGAAGAAGAAAAATCATTTATAGCTCAGCTGGGGATCTGTGTCTTCGGCAATGTGAGGCTTTGAGCAGATGGAAGAGTCTCTTTCTGTGTTTAAGCATCGAACTGGTCAGCTGTAACCTAGCCGTGCATCAAAGCAACAGCCACCGTTCGAAGTTGATGGGTTCAGAATTTGACGAAATCCGGGGGGGGGGGCTGTTCTGTGGCAGGCTGTGCTAAACCAGGCGCATGGCTGGGTGGCTCCCTTGTGCCCCTGTTAGCACGAGGGGAGCGCTAGTTGTAGTTAGAGATCCTCGACAGCAGCGGGTCCCCACCTGGGGTCCCCAGATGTCCTTGGACTACAACTCCCAGAAATCCTGGCTGGCCCAGCGAGTGGAAAAGGCTTTGGGGAGGTATAGTCCAAGAACATCTGGCGACTCAAGGTGGGGAACCACCGTGATAACGTTTCTAAAGGTGAGGGAGGCTGTAGCAGAGGAAATGATCCAGCCGGGCCAAATTGCATCCCAGAATTACTCAAAGTGAACAAAAGCTGCATTTTAAACCCTAGCCTTTGAGAATTGAAGAAGTCAGGGATGTAAAGGGGTAGCTAAGGAACACGTGACTCGCTCACACCCATGGTTGATCTTCACCTGCAGCCCATGTTCAGAGAGAAAAGTCCTCTAAACCCGGAAGATCTTGTGAGTGATGACCTCTGGCCACGTGGGCAAGGGGGTTGTACGATAAAGAATGCGATGAAGTAGCATGGTCAAGATGGCCCAGGGTCAATGCCGGAGAAGGCGTTTGTTGGGATTCTGGGGCACAAAAGCCACTCGGGAGCAGGCAGGATGTTCGTAGGAGGCCCCACAGAAGGAGATCAACAAATCAGCAGAACCAGCGAAGGTGAAGCTCTCCGACCGTGGACCTTCTGCAAGGAGCGGCCAGACCCCATCTTGGGGTCCAGCTGCTGGATCTCAGAGACACTTTTAGAAGAAACCCTCCTCGTGGGAAGACCGGACACATTAGGAGACCTTGACTCAGGAGGAGGAGTCTCTTGATACAGCCAGGCCTTTCTTCAGGGTGTGAAGTCCTGCGTGGGTTTTTTTAGGAGCTGGTGTTGAGGGTCTCTCTTGCTCTGCCTCTGGTGTGTCTCCCCCCTCCATTCTTCCTGACATGGTGGGCTATTCGTTGCCTTTCCCAAAGACCTGGGTTCAGCTTTATTCTGAGAGGCCAGAGCTTGCAGGGAGTTACTTTTCACAACACTCCCGTTCCCATGGTGCTTCAGCCGGCCCCTGTCCATGCGCCAGCCCTTCCTTCCCAAACCTCCACCTCCTCCACATTGCTGTGGGCCGACCAGGGTTCAAGGACCCCTTCGGGCTCCTCATCACCCCTTCTTGACCCTTCACGCGGCCTTCCTTCCCAACACAAGGAGGAGAAGGAATCAAGCGTCCTTGAGGCAGGGAGACCCTCTGATCACTCCCCCACCCCGGGGGGGGGGCTGACCAAAGTGTCTTCAGAAACCAGCGTGGGTTCCTAAGAGCGAAGGAGGGAGGGAAGGAGATATAAAAAGAACCCAAGACAGTCGTTGGCCATGGAAGCCCCCCTCCTCGCCTTGGCTTGTCTTCTCTCACTGGAGGAGAAAGCTGCTGGGAGGGGGGGTGGAGAGAAAAGAATGGAAATGACAGAGAGAAAGATCGGGAGAAAGAGCGAAAAGGCAGATATTCCTGCGTCGCCGGGCCCTTTATCTCCCCTGTCATCTGTCATACCAGCGCGCCCTCGACCGCATTGTCTCACCTTGGACACAAAACAAGACTGGGGGGGGGGGGGGGAGGTAGGGGGCAT